GACACTGTGTTCTTTGAGAGAAAAGCCTCACCTTTCTTGTGCCAAATCTTCTGTACATCATTATGTCCAAAAAGCTTAATTTTTGTTTCATCACTCCATAGCACTTGCCCCCAAAAGCAATTTTCTTTGTCCAAGAACGTTTTGGCAGAATTAAACCAACCAACAATGTGACATGGTTTGTGAAGTGGGGATCATCGTGGCTGGTTTCCATACAACCCATTTCTATTTAAACAATGTTTTATTGTGCAAGTACTTACACTGATACCCATCGTATCCAAACTTTTGGCAATGTCTTTCAAAATAACTCTTGGATTTATATTAACCTTGCAACACAGTTTTCGTGCAGTTCTCGGTGACAATTTGAGTTTTCTTCCATGCCCAGACAAATTCTCTGTCATGCCAAACTGTTTAAATTTCCTTATAACGAACAGTACAGTAGATCTAGGGATAGCTAACCGGTTTGAAATAATGCTGTAACTATTTCCTAACTTGTGGAAGTTAATTCTTTGTCTCAAGTAAACATTAAGCTTTGTGTCTTCCCCATTGTGTTGTTAAAGTAAGAATAACAATGGTGACACTCTATGCACCACATGATGTTCTTTGCTGGAATTATCACAAATATTCTACTGAATAAATAATCTAGAAGTCTTCACTAATAAAATAATTATGTAAATTACTTATACTTACATGAATCAATCAATTTAAAATGATATTTTCTACTGTACAAACAATTTTGTCTACTTTGCATAATTTACCTGTTAAATTTGTTGTATTTAACCTATTGTTCTGAAAAGTGAGTTTTATATTCCTTTTTTCATGCTTATTAACATATAAAAAAACCTGGCATCATATGGGCATTAGATTCTGAGAAATGGATAAAAATATTCAAAATTGATGGGTATACAAATAATTTTGTTGTTGACTGTATGTAATATCAGTCCTCGTTTATGGCAGTGAATGTTAGACAGTTTCCTGACAGATGAAGAATAGACTTTGGGCAACAGAAATGTGGTTCTACAGAAGGATGCTGAGAATACTACATACAGACCATCTAGAGACAATGGAAGCAAAAAGGATATTATACTTAAGATCAAGAAGAGAGAGTTGAAATTTCTAAGGCACATAAGGAAAGAGGACTTGGAAAATTTGATACTCATAGGATAAATTGAGGAACAGGAGAAAACAATGCATAACCTTCCAAGCAAGTTTGAGCAAATGACAGAACAAAATTTAGAAGAGATAACAAAAACACAAAATTCATTAAGTGCTACAAATTATAGGAAATTGTGGAGAACCATCATCGCCAACATCCTGAAGGGACATGGCACATAGGGGAAGAATTATGACTCATCAGAAAATTAAAATAGGAAAACTATTAAATTTTTATAAGTTGGTTGGTTGATTCTGTTTAGTGGCATATCAAACGCTATGGGTTATTTAATGTCAAAATCTAAATATATTTTGAACACAATTTTATGGCTTCAATTAAATATATTTTGAACGCTATTGTATGCCTTTAACTACAGAAAAATGTATTTTTGGTAATTTTACTATAAATAAGTATTCTTGGTAAATTTTTATCTAAAAATGTATTGCTGGTATTTTTACTCTAAAAATGTATTTTTATACTTTCATCGAGGTTTTTTTTTGTTTTGGGGTTCACTATTTGACCATAGTTAGGACCCTAACAGATGCTACCCCCCGGGGTCAGTGTTGACTTGAGAACAACAGCAAATTAAGAGGTACTCAAAACTCAGAGACCTTGCTGCCAGATATAATTTATCATCATACCCAGGAATAAAATTTTCATGGGAACTGCTGATAATGATAATGACTCTTCTCAAAACTTCATACAATAGTTTCAGGTGTTGAAAGAAGATCTAAATATTTTTAATTTCTTCACACTGGTGGTGAATTATATTCAATGTCTTTTGGTATTAAATAGAATCCCAGAATAACAATCAAATGCTAATCACAGAACAAAGGAATAGACCAGATGCCTACAAAAAGATAGAAAGCAAGAAGGAGTAAAACAACTACCCACTATTTTTAATATAGATTTTCAGAGACTGCTGGTTGCGCAATTCTATTTTTATGGCAAATCTATTTCCTGCGGCAACTTCACTGATTGGGTCGTCAGGTTATACAATGCAAAAACAGGTAGAAATTATAAAATGCTTTCTACCTGTAAAACGAATGTTTCCCTCCACAAAAAACTATAACCCTTATTGCTTAACTCCCATCCCTCACCTGGACTAATAATTCGGAAGATGCTCAAAAAAAGGAAAGCTTAATAGTTTTATCTATTTTTTCTACTAATGTTCACTCAATACAAAGCCCAAGAGCCACTCAAGGTAGAAGGTTACTGTGTGGCATTTTATTAGTGTAAAAACAGGCAAGATAACAGAAAAGATAGACAGCTAATTCTAGACTTGAAGAGGTCAAGGTTTAATTAGTGAATAACATTTCAGGCTTCAGCCAGAGACGTTAGGAGTATAGAGATGAAGTAGACTTTAGAAGGAACCAGAAACCCAATCCTTAACAGGCAACTAGGGATAAACCTCTACTCCTGTTCAAAAAACCGGGGAGGAGTGTGAAACTCCTATATGAGGATAACTATATCACCAAATTCACAAACTAACACTTTAATCCACTCAATTATTGTCCCATAGGACATAGTAATTGTGAGTTCAATCCCTGGGTTGGGCAGCATGTATTTGAAGTCAGGGGAAACAGGATAAGCAATAATTTTATTGCACTAATTTCAACTGTAAAATAATAATAATAATAATAATGATGATACTTTCCCACCGCTGTAACGTAGCTTCCCTCTGCCTTTTCTGTAAATATTTTCATGGTAATTATTAATGAACTTTCCTCTTTGGTACCTAAACTTTATGAATTTAAGTGCAGTACTAATTTGGCAGTAAGGGCTTAGCATTTAACAATTGTAATTGCGTGATTGGTAAGAAGGGCTTATCATTTAACAATTGTAATAGCTAGGTTGGTAGCAAGGGCTTATCATTTAACAATTGTAATAGCTAGATTGGCAGAAAAGGCTTATCATTTAACAATTGTAAAAGCGGGATTGGCAGCAAGAGCTTATCATTTAACATTTGAATAGCGAGATTGACAGCAAGAGCTTATAATTTAACAATTGTAATAGTTAGATTGGTAGCAAGTGCTTATCATTTAACAATTGTAATAGCTAGATTGGTAGCAAGGGCTTATTATTTAACAATTGTAATAGCTAGATTGGTAGCAATGGCTTATCCTTTAACAATTGTAATAGCTAGATTGGCAGCAAGAGCTTATCATTTAACAATTGCAATAGCTAGATTGGCAGCAAAGGCTTATTATTTAACAATTGTAATAGCTTAATTGGTAGCAAGGGCTTATTTAACAATTGTAATAGCTAGATTGGCAGCAAAGGCTTATTTAACAATTGTAATAGCTAGATTGGCAGCAAAAGCTTATCATTTAGGAATTGTAATAGCTAGATTGGTAGCAAGGGCTTACATTTAAATATTGTAATAGTTAAATTGGTAGCAAGGTCTTATCATTTAGCAATTGTAATAGCTTAATTGGTAGCAAGGGTTTATCATTTAACAATTGTAATAGCTTAATTGGTAGCAAGGGCTTATCATTTAACAATTGTAATAGCTAGATGTAACTGTAAGTTCTATGCTATTTCATTTTTTTTTGTCTGAATTTATGAGATGAGGAGTTATCATTATTTACACTATTTATATTTAAACTATTGTCCTTGTTGTTTTATCGCAATGTTTTGGCTGTTGTGCCCTCTGGCCTTCCTTAAGTGTATATCAATCTAGATAACCTACAATGAATTACTTCAGGAAAATGTTCTACTGGATAAAAGTGCTGGTTTGTGAATTTAGTGATATAGTGGTTATGAGTTCAATCCCTGGTCTAGGAAAGTGTTATTTGCATTCAGTGGAAACAAGCAAGTAATAACTGAACAGTGCTAATAAAATAAGAACTTGATGATATTCCTAGACATAAACTGTAGAACAAGAACTGCTTAAATTAAGTAAAGAATTCATTTCAGAATTCCCTGTATGTTAACCAGATTGATATACACCTGAGGAAGTGTGAAGAGCACAACATCACAAATGTTGTGATATCAACATCAAAGATGAGGAGAATATTCTGAATATAAATAGTGTAAATAATAAGAGTTTCTTCTCTCACACTTCATGCTTGTAGAACTCTCTTTTCACCCCAAACAAGGTGGGAATGCCACTAGTACACAGGGGGTTACAGATAGTGAAGGTGAGAGAAAAGATTGGGTACAGTGGGAACCGAGGAAAAGATAAAAGCTGAATGGAGTTCAAGAAGACAGAAGATGGCAATTGATGTTGTATTTAACCTTTTGAATAGCAACCTTTAGCAGGTTATTTAAAGCCAGAAAATATTTTTAGATTATAGGAATTTTTTTTAGAGATAATAATTATTTACTGATACAAGTTCTACTAATTAACCCATAGATGGGAGGATAAGAGGTGGATTCATAATTTTTCCAAGGGTACTTGTGCATAAGGGAATATAACAAACCTAATTGAAATTGGAACTCAACTCTCCAATTTTGAATTCTGAGCTGTTATCCATTAGCCAACTAGTTTACTGATTGCTTTATATACAAATGAAAATATCTGCAGCCTAACATGTATAAGGTGATATTGGAAAGTTCTCAATTTTTTAATGGTTGATTTGTTTTTTTACAGCTTATCAACCTTTAGCAGGTTATTTAAAGCCAGAAAACATTTTTGGATTGTAAGAACTTTTTTTAAGATAATTTTTGGATACAAGTCTTACTAGGTAACACATAGATGGATGGTGGATGGAGAAAAGGTGGATTTATACTTTTCCCAACAGTATTTCTGTTTAAGTGACTATAACAAACATGATTGGAATTAGAACTTGGTTCTATGATTTCCAATTATAAGCTGTTATCTTTTACACCACATGCACATTTAAGTTTACAGTACCTGATTTTCCCAAGTGGTCATCCATCTAGGTACTGACCAGGATCAATGTTGCTTAACTTTTGTGACCATACGAGAATTGGTGTTTCAGCACGATTTGGCTGTAAGCCATATCTTGTGCTTACAGCAATCAGTTGAAGAGAAGAAAATCTATGAATTCATATCAGCCTGGATAGGATTAGGGTTATGGTGGATGAGCTTCTTATAGGAGCCTGGAGAGGATTAGGGTTATGGTGGATGAGCTTCTTATAGGAGCCTGGATAGGATTAGGGTTATGTTGGATGAGCTTCTTATAGGAGCCTGGATAGGATTAGAGTTATGGTGGATGAGCTTCTTATAGGAGTCTGGAGAGGATTAGGGTTATGGTGGATGAGCTTTATAGGAGCCTGGATAGGATTAGAGTTATAATTGGATGAGCTTCTTATAGGAGCCTGAGAGGATTAGGGTTATGGTGGATGAGCTTCTTATAGGAGCCTGGAGAGGATTAGGGTTATGGTGGATGAGCTTCTTATAGGAGCCGACAGCCAACATGCAGATAAAAGATAGAAATTTTATCCAACTCTCTATATATAAAATTCTGTGACTTCTGTTAATCTGTCCATCATACACTCTAAAATAGCCATACATTGATCAATTGAAACCAAAATTTGGGGAGAAGTGCACACAGGTAAGCGGGGTACAAAGTACAATTGGTTTTTACTAGTGTGCGTAGCTTAGTACAATAAATTTTCATTCATTATTTTGGAAGAATTAAAAGTTTTATTATTTAACATACAAAATATTCCCACTATTTTAAAAACAATTTAATAATTTACAAATACTTCAGTATCTGTCTATATTTCTGAGATGAGGTATTATGTACACTATTTACATTATTCAGACTATTGTTCTCATCTTTGTCGCCATATTTATTACGTTTCAGCCTTTCAGTATCTGTCTATATTTCTGAGATGAGGTATTATGTACACTATTTACATTATTCAGACTATTGTTCTCATCTTTGTCGCCATATTTATTACAACATTTACGCCTTTGTACGCTCCTGCCTTCTTCTACAAATACTTATTTCATAAAAATGCAATATTGTTTTTTGCATATTTTTTCTTTAAGTTTTTATCTACAAGAATCCAGTTTCCAGTTTTCCCTGCATTTGCAAGAACTATAAACAAATCACAAGACCAGATGCTTCCAAAAGTTGGAATCTGGCTCCAGAAAGAAATATTTATGCATGGCTAGTTGTATTAAAAAGCGCTCAGTTATGAAACTCGCTATTGTGATGTGAATCACTTTACACAGGACTGACTGATGCAGAAATTAATGAAAAAAAATTTTCCCACCTCTAGGTTAATGCATAAACTTGAAGTAATGCATTTGATTTGTCATCTTCTTCTATGTGTTTTCCCATGGCCAATCACAGATCTCCACAATTTCCTGTTCTCTATAGCTCTTAATAAATATTTTGTTTTTGCTATATCTCTTAATCTCTGTTCTACCAAGCAAGGTCATTAGTTAGGTTATAAACTGATTTCATCTATCCATCTTCAAATCAAATTTTCTAATCCCTCTTTCCACATTATGTGCCTTAAAAATTTCAACTATATGCTACATGTAAATGTCCTTTTTGTTTCTATTTTCCATAAAATAAGATGGTCCAGCATTCAGTGCCATATAGGAGGACTGGTATTACATAACATTTCAGTACACTTTTTTTTTTTTATTCTAATGAGATTTTCCTGTTTCTTAATACTTTGCATAGCTTTTGGAAGGTATCTTTCACTATAACAATGCACATTTTTTACTGGCTTAATTTTGGTATCTCCAATTTGTAATTTGTATGTTGGGCTGTTTCTTTTGCTAGCAGCCATACATTCTATCTTCTTACAATTGATGGTTAGTCCTTTCTTCTTGCTTTCCTTTACTACATTCTCTTAGAGTTCTAGTAGTTTCTTTTTTATATCTGCTATCTACACTAGACAGGAAATAAGAGACAGAAGCTGCTAAATTACACAGGACAGTTTTTGGTTGGAGTAATCTTTTGAATTGCTTGAATTTCTTTGATTCTTCATTGCTCAAATTCTCTTTCCTTCAATTTTTCTTCCTGTCTGGAAAGACAATTGGTTTATATTGCCATGTTGCAACAGAATTAACAGAAACAAGAATGTCAGAATTGAATTCTTTTGAAGAAAATACGAGAAATAATTAAGAAAATATTAAATTAATAAACAATTAGTAAACAATAACAGTCTTGCCTCTGTGTCACAGTGAAGAGAAAAATCATCCAATGTTAATTAAAATGTGTTAATTAAATTATGAATAACTCATAAATTAAAAACGGTTGTTAATATCTCATTAAGCATCTATGACATTTAAACACCAGTAGTATCATTCCTCAACACTGTGTCATCTGTATAGTTTGATAGCAAACAGAGAAAAGAAACTACAGGGTCTCGTAGAGAAGGTAGTAAAAGAAAGAGAGAAGAATGGATTAAATATCAATTGTAAGAAGACATAATGTATGGCTGTCAGCAAAAGGAACATGGCAAAATGGCTTCAGACCTGAAATAGGACAAGAACAGTATGGGTTCGTTAAAGACACTGGAACAAGAAATGCAATATTTATGTCCAGAATGATATCAGAAAGAGCAATTCAAATTTAGAAGCAGATGTATCTGTCTTTTATAGAAACTGTTTGATAAAATATATCACAAAGAACTGTTGGAATTACTTGTTAACCATGACATATTTAGGCGGGGAGGATATTAGAATAATCCAGAACCTATACTGGGAGCAAACTGCCTGCATATGGATAGAAAATGAATTTAGTGAATATACAAAAAAAAGAAAGGAGTGTAAGACAAGGTTGTGTCTTCTCACCAGACTTATTCAACCTATACAGTGAGATAATTCTAAGAGAATTAGAAATCCTAACATGATTCATTATTGGCAGTCACAATCTGAACAACATTAGATATGCAGATGACACAGATGTTGATAGCAGACATGGAAAGGAAACTACAGAAATTCCTACAGAAGGTAGTAAAGGAAAGCAAGAAGAATGGACTAAGCATCAATTGTATAAAAATAAATGGTTGCCAGCAAAAGAAAGAGCCCAACATGCAAGTTACAAATTAAAGATCCGAAAGATAAACAAGATGCAAAAATCTGAATATCTAGGAGATGTTTTCACTTAGAATTTGACAATTAAATGCAAAGGTATATTGGGGTAGTGAAAGATGCCTTCTTAAAGGTAAGCAATGGGACTTAAAGCAAAAGAAATATGGCTCTACAGAAGGATGCTGCAAATACCATGGACTGAACATGTAAGCAACAACAAAGTCTTAGAGAAAATGGAAACAAAAAAGATATACTTAGCATCAGAAAGTGAGCGCTGAATTTTTTCTATGTGCTGTCTCCCTTATGGACATGGGTGATCACAGCCCTCCACAATTTCCTGTTCTCTATAGCTCTTAATAAATATTTTCTTTTTGCTATATTTTCTAATGTCTGTTCTGCCAACCAAGGTCATTAGGTAGGTTGTAAACTGATTTCATCTATCCATCTTGCCTTCAATATGTCTTAAGAGTATCAAATTTTCTAATCCCCCTTTCCGCATTATGTGCCTTAAAAATTTCAACTATATGCTACATGTAAATTTCCTTTTTGTTTCTATTTTCCATAAAACTTCTTTATTACTCACATGTTCAGTCCATGGTATTCTCAATATCCTTCTATAAAACTACATTTCTGTTGCCTCAATTGTCTTCTTCATTTGCGATAAGATGGTCCAGCATTCAGTGCACATAGTGAGGAAAGTGAAATTGGAAAATCTGACACTCATAAGGCATATTGAAAAGAAATAGGACAGATAAACAGCTGAGTTCAAATACCAGTCGAGTTCATTATATTCAATTATGCACAAATATCCTTGCAGTAAGGCATGGATCCATCTTTTCACTCTCTAGTTAAAAATATATATAAAGTATATTTGAGCAGCAAGTATTCATCCAAACTAGTTAGATTAAAAAGAATCAACAAAATCTGTGTGTTTAATATAATATTCCATTATTTTTTTAATTTTCGAGTAAGGTGTTGCATAGTGGGATCAAAATTGTGGATAAACTGTCCAAAGTTCAGGTTTGTGTTGTTGTTTTGTTCAAATACTTTCAACCATCTTAATCATTTTCATGAATCAACATAGGTAGAATTTTCTTGTCTACATCCTGGTATTATTTTGAAATACATACTGATATATATGTGCATATGAAATATATCATGTATCTTGAAGTGTATATGATGTAATGAAGGGTTTGGTAATCCATGTGGATAATTACAAAGAGGATGCAATCCAGAGAGCTGAATGTAACACCAGTGCAAATATTAATTAAATAATTAAGAAAGAGATAATCTTAAGGTTCCATGACTATAATTTATTTCCCTAGAAAATATATTTTTCCTGGTTCATCAGGTCACATCTCTAGTTACAAAAGAATTAGGTTTCTTTATATATATATATATATATATATATATATACTTTTAAAAACCTCCAGTATCTGTATTATTTCATTCACAATGCTAAAAGAAAAGCATACAAAATCTACAATAACAAAAACATAATAATACTAATAGCAATAAATTAGATAAAAGTAAATATATAATATACTAACTCTATAATTGTTGTGGTACGATCCACCTAATTTACATAGTGGAGTACTAACCATATAAATATGGGTTGGTATCGGGAAGACGAGGGAAGTAACAAGAGATCCAATCCAGAGACTCTGCCCGACTGCAATTAAGTCAACCCATTCTACAGGAACAGTCTTCCCAAACTAACTGTAAATATTGTGTACCTTTTCCTTGTTTCAATACATTTTGTTTACGTACATTTTGTGTTGTATTATTATTATTCCATGCTTATCCAAGCTTCAACAAAAATATTTAGTATTTAAAATAATATACCCAATCTTAATATTAAATTAATCACAATTTTTAAAAAAAAATCATTTAGCCCCAAGGAAGGCGATAATACCATTAGAACACAGGGAGTTACAGGGAATAAAAGAGAATGGAAGGATTTTAGTGAGGAGTAGTGAAGAAAAGACAA